TAGGACTGCACTCTTCTGGACAGAGATCTCAGATGTTGTTCCTGGGATCTGTTGGAGCCACTCTCCCAGTTTGGGGGTCACAGCCCCCAATGTTCCTATTACCATGGGGACCACTTGTGCCTTCACCTTCCACATCTTTTCTAGCTCTTCTTTCAGCCCTTGGTATTTCTCGAGCTTCTCGTGCTCCTTCTTCCTGATGTTGCTATTGCTTGGGATTGCTACATCTATCACTACGGCCTTCTTCTTCTGTTTGTCCACCACTACTATGTCCGGTTGGTTGGCCATTACCAGTTTGTCAGTTTGTATCTTGAAGTCCCACAGGATCCTAGCTTGGTCATTCTCAACCACCTTTGGGGTGTATCCCATTTTGACTTTGGGACTTCCAGCCTGTACTCGGCACAGATGTTTCTGTGCACTATGCCAGCCACTTGGTTATGGCATTCCATGTATGCTCTGCCTGCTACCATCTTGCACCCTGCTGTTATGTGCTGGATTGTCTCAGGGGCATCTTTGCACAGCCTGCACCTGGGGTCCTGTCTGGTATGGTAGACCCCGGCCTGGGTAACCCCAGCGACAGGGGACTTATGGAGATATATATATATATACATATCTATACACTTTGAACTATACTATACACTTTGAAACTTTGATTAGTGATCATGTGCCTCATGTGATCATCTACCTCGCGCATGAGTAGATACTGTATGTTTCCTTAGTGGAAAATCTTACTGACTTCAGACCTGGCAACTCTGCCAGCATGCTAGCAATCCATCAAATGTTCAAACTCACATCTCTTAAAAGGGGTGTGAGGTTACACAGTGATCAGATAATTGCATGTTACGCCCAAAACACACCCCTGCTTTAATGAGATCAAGTACAGCCTTTTGCTACTAGCACGGGCGCTTGAACTATTTTTCCTCGTTGTGAAATTACAAAATGAACGTGGACACACTCAAACACCACTTGCACCAAAATAAGCCCCATAGTCTCAAATTCTCTTAAAGCATAAGGCCGATCATTTTCTATATTAACAATATTTGAAATACTCCCCACACAGAGATACAAACCAGCAATGATTTGCCTCTACTTGCTGGTAATGTCTGTTAGTCTTAGATTTGCAATTGTCTGTCATAGCCCTCAACTAATTTTCAAAAACACACCAGGGAAACACACCACTGCACTGGGTGATGTTTAAGCATTGCAAAATACCAGACCTTGATATTTTTTAAAGATTTTGCCCCACAGCCTCCGAATGGCCCTAACTTTTTACAGCATCTGAAGTAAGCAGGAGTCAAGGGCCCATGCACAAGATATCTGGATTTTTTTTTTTTAACTGAATTTAAAAGATTAGATAAAACCACATTTAAATCAATAGTGATTTTATCAACAGAGCAGTTGGTAACTGCTCATATTTAATGGTTAGAGTTGATGGACCAATATGCCGAGTGCATGTGTATTTAGACTACCATTATGAGAACAGATTAAAATTGCATGACACCCAGTGCTGTGGTGCGTTACCCTGATGTGTTTTTAATCACTTTGGAACAACAACAGAAATCTATGGTACAGCCCAACAAGCTAATCCAGGACTGACAGTTGACAGACATGAATTCTGAGTAGAGGAAGTTTATGGTTGGTTTTAGTCTTTGTATGGAGACTGCTGGAAAAAAAATATTATTATGGAAAATAACTGGCCTTAGCCTTTAAACTCACATACTTTCTTGTTGCCTTACAAAGCACATTGAGGGCCACTGTACCAGAGTCAAATTCCTTGTGCATTCAATATACTGGCATGGGCAATAAAATCGAATCTCATTCTGGTGTCCAAATTCAAACCATCAAACACACGGAGGACTTCATTCCATTTTCACATTCAGATGGACCTTGTTGACTCATGAAGGAATTCCCTGAAAACAGCACTGGAAAGAATGGCACCCCTGGCTAGAATATTTTCCTGAGAATGAAAGAGGAGGTCATCAAGATCTTCCAAGACAAGGTTCCCTGCAGAAAGCTTTAGCTGTACAACCCACACACAGAAAAAATGCATCCACAAAAGCATGACAGCAAAACATACAGTAGGTGTAAGGCATTAACCTTTACATTTCCAAGTTCATGACAAAATAATTGTATTCATCTGCACAGTAAATTTTGTGGTGCCAGTGAATAGTTAACTCTGCTTTCACCATCACATGGAGGAGGAGACAATGCAGAAAGTCCGGTTCCCTGTTTGAAAACCGAGCCACTGAGACTCAACGCATCTGTGCAGGTCCCTGCCGAGTGCTGCCTGCCTCTGGTCAAAGATCAGCTGGGATCGCTCCCATGGTTTAGCCATTGTAAACCCCTCCGTTTATAAGTTTCAGGTTCTGTAATTCACTTGGATTTTAGTAGATGAATCTCACCAAACAGCATAAAGATGAGTGGGCCGCCATGCAAGAAGTCGGAAAGTTCAACTTAAACTCATTCTAAAACTTGAGATGTTTTTAGAAATCATTCTTAGTTTTCATAATGCCGAAACAAAAGTGAATGTGGAAAATACAGCCTATTACACGGTGTGCGGTATGTACAAATTTCGTGAGCATATAGCCTATTAAACAGGCAGTTGTTTGCTTTTCTTTAATGACAACGTCATGCGGACTCCCGAATGTATAAAGCAAAACATGTCTTGCGCTCGCGGTTGGGGTGGAAACACCGCACATAAAAGAAACTGCCAACAGTTCTTATCAGCCAACTCACCGCATGGTTGACAGGTCCAGCTAGCATCACGGGGCAGTTTGACAGCTGTGGACTCCTCAGTGCTGGTGGACATAGGTTACTGTTTTACACAAATACATTACTGAACTTCCTGATTCCACGGTGCAATCTTTCCAATCCATACGCTCGCGGGTGTTAAGTCAGATTGGACAACAGATGTGTTTCCGGTAGAAAAAAAAAATTCAAAATAAATCCGTACGTACATCTGGCTAAAAAGAAACAGACGAATGAATGAATGAATAAATAAACCTGGTCGCTACAGTAAGCTACGGAAGATTCTCAGCTATTATTAGTGGGAACACAACATCAAATCTTCACCTGTGACCGGTAAGTAGGTTGAATGTAGGTGAAAGGAACACGTTTGCACAGCAGCACTATTGAACAAGAACCGTTTTTCTCTCCCTTGATCCACATTCTGTGGGTCCGTGGTTCTCAAACATTTTTTGTCATTCCCCACGTAAGAGGGTGGGCGAATTTTCAAGCCCCACTTGTCAAAAAATTATAACGAAATTGGCCAATTTTAAAATTTCAAATTGATTGAAATATCAAATAACACTAAGTTGAAAACGGATAAAATATAAGTGCAACTGTATCGTTTGACAGAGGGATAGTTTTCAATTTTGCAGCACTTGTTTCATCCAGCATAATCAACACCATGTCTACAGTTACAGGGAGAATGAGCTGCTCAGCAATTGACTGGGGTGTGTTGTCTTTAAATGTCCATTTACGTTATTATGCCCACTACGTACACTATTGGTCCTCTCTGTGAACGTTTCCTTATATTGTTGCGCGGCAGTTAACATGCCGACGTTAAACCGTTATTGTTGCACTATGGTTCCCCTTTTTCTCCCGGGCCCCAAACTTGTGTTATTTTATTTTACTTGTATTAATGACCCATTTCTAATTTTCTCCGTTTATTGTGCCCCACCTGTCATGTCTTTATTCCCCACTAGTTGGGCGCGCCCCACACTTTGAGAACCACGGCTGTAGTGAAGTGCTGTGTGAGCTTCTGCTATGTAAACCTAAACTATTGGCTCTATAGAGGCACACCTTACTATTTTTATTTCAGGATAGCTGCCTGCCACTTAAAACTAAAGTTCAGTGTAAACTACCTGCTCCTGTCATATCTGCGTCTTTATGTTTTTAACCTTTCTCCAAAAGGTTTGTGCATGTACACAGTTATATAAAATATATATAGCTATATGATGCCGTCATTGTGAGGACATTTTAGTCTGTCCTTAGAACATCATAGGGCTTTTGAGAGTTAAGACTTGATTTTATGGTTAAGGTTACAATTAGATCTAAGTCATGTTTAAGGTAAGGGCTGGGATTAGGCATTTGGTTGTGATGGTTATGGCTAAAATAAGGTGCTAGAGAATGCATTATGTCATTTACTGTAATGATTGTCCTCATAACTATAGAAAGACGTGTGTGTTTGTTCTTGTATTTGCTACAGAGTGAGGACATTCTGGCCAGTCCTCAGTTTCTGAAACAGCTTTTTCAGGATTAAGACTTGTTTTTTTTTTCAAGTTAGAATCGGGTTTAGGTTAGGTGTTAGGCATTTAGTTATGATGGTTAAGTTTAGGGTAAGGGGCTAGGGAATGCATTATGTCAATGAGTGTCTTCACAAAGGGTTAGGGTTAGTATTTGTATGCACACACGTCCATTATCCATCCATCCATCCATTTTCCTCCGCTTATCCGGGACCGGGTCGCGGGGGCAGCAGTCTAAGCAAAGATGCCCAGACTTCCCTCTCTCCAGACACTTCCTCCAGCTCCTCCGGGGGAATGCCGAGGCGTTCCCAGGCCAGCCGAGGGACATAATCCCTCCAGCGTGTCCTGCGTCCATTATCTATACTGCTTATAGTACCACACAGGCACAGAGAGAACATGCAGACTCCACACACAAAGGCCCCGGGTCGGCCTGGGCTTGAACCCCCTAACCACTGCGCCATGTGCACTTTGAAAATCCATTCCTTGGGCAACGTTGCTAAGTTTTCTAGTATAAAAAACATTCCTTTACACCAGGTGCAAAGGATTACACAAAAAGTATGTTTGATTTTATTCATTCAGAATGTATATTTAAATACAAATCTAATGTGAGAAAAGACACAGACAGACTTGTTTTCCATTTCTGATCAACAACCATGCAAACACGTTGGCTAAAAAAGGTTAAAGTTGACACTATCCATGTAATGACAGTTGACATTCTTGCTATTACAGTACTAAAATATTACTGGCAAGGTAAATATGACCTCATCTGGGACAGGAAACTGAGTTCCTTAGCAGAGAGAACATTCACCTTAAATTATTCCAGGTTAGAAAACACTTAGAAACAAAAGGTAGATTTTTCATCTGCATACATCATTACAAAAAGAAATTGGGGCTGCCCTGGAAAACCAGGGCCCTAAACCTTTAATGCTGGAAAAAAACACTCAGTGGTGAGTCTTGGGTGCAGCTCCTTCAAGAACCAATCCTGAACTTTCATTATTGAAAAAAAGCTTATGGTCACAACAACTCGTGGGCTTCATCACCAGACACATACATCAGTTCATCAGTTATCATGCAGATGGGTCAGCTGTCTTCTCATCTGGACTTCTGGTTGTCACTCCTGTCTTCACTTAATCACTTAAAGCAGGCAGATTCAGAAAAACCCTTTCCAGGAAAAGTAACCAATATAACCAGAGGCCATCTACATATGAAGAAAGACCAGCGCTGCATCTCAAGTCTCTTTTATGATTGTTCTTCTGTCCTTGATTCTCACTCGACCAGGAATTCGTTCCAGTCAATCAAAGATGTCACAAGACTCTTATATCTGTTCAGGATCAGCAAGGAGGCTGCAGGAGGAACTGTGAATGAGGAAACAAGAGACCATCTTTCGTGGATGTCTTTTGTGGAAGGAAATGGCATTGACTATATAAAATTCCTCGATTCCTCTTTCCTGGCATTTTCTCTTTACATTTTTTTTGTCACATCTTGAGTGAGTGGGACTAGGACTCAAAGAAAAGAAGGACCTTAGGGAAACGCTGGTGCACACAAGACACTTGGGGTGATTATCATCTCCCCACACACTTACATGTAGGCCATGTGGTGAACTAACAAATGAGTAAACTCCATCCACTGATGAAGGCCACCAAAATATGACCAAAAGCTTTAATATTTTCGAGGAGTATGGAACCATACTCCTCAAAAATATTGTGGATCTTAGATTTGTTCTTTTTTGTCAAATTACCAAATCTATGCTTTCATTGTTTTTAGTTTTTGTATTTTCCTTAAAAAAAAACATAAAACTGGCTTTAGACAAATGTAATATTTTTTCTTGATCCGCGGATCTGCTGCGCTCTATGGGTCAATCCAGCAGAATGAATTCACTGAGTTCTTTTATTAGTTTCTCCATAATTATTCCTACCTTCACCTTCTGTATATCATAGAAAAGGTGAAAAAACTGTGATTCTTTTTGGGCTCTGTTATAATTATACACCAACTGATATACTGGCCTAAGCTTAATTACAACATGGTGAACATGACTGAAGACAAAGAAGAAAGTGCAGGGGTTGGAGAGAACTGTGTTGTGGCCAGATGTAAGGGGAAGTAAGAGCACTGGATTTTTCCAGTTCCTGTCATCACACGGTTTCACTCAGTTTGATGGTTATTGCTTTCACCTCCGAGTACTCAGCCAGAGCATACTCTCCACTGAGAGGACAGAGACAACACATGAGACAGGTTAGGAAATACATAGTGAACCGATAGAACTGAAGATGAAATATGAAGAAACTGAATGTTTCTTACAGCTCTCGTCCATTTCCTGACATCTTATACCCTCCAAAGGGTGTCTGGGCATGAAGGGCGTTGTAGCAGTTTATCCTTAGTGACAAATGAGAGAGGTCATTGGTCAGCCTACTGTACCTCAGCATAAAGACTAAGTCAAAAAATATTCATATCAAAGCCAATGTATCTAAAGGTCAAGTTGGAATATAGGGGGGAAAATCTCTGGGAGAAGAATTCAAAATAAAATGCAGACACTGTCTCTGCATTTTAGTGTGGTATGATCAGTGCAGTTCAAAATTATCAAGTGATACTCTATACAACCTTAATTTCAATAAAGTATTGGCATGTCTAAATTAGTCATAATTTATGATCTGATTCATGCTGGAAATGCAAATATAGCCTCCTTGAGCTCATCACTTTTCTGCAAGATAAGGATCTATCAGATATCTACCCTAACTTTTGGACTGCTCTCAAGATTGCACTTACTCTGACAGTCACTGTGGCTCAAGCAGAGAAGAGCTTTTCAAAACTGAAGTTGATCAAGTCATACCTGAGGTCAACCATGTCTCAGGAACGGCTCAATTCAATGTAGAACCGCCACTGACCTTTGTACATCGAAAAAAAAAAAACAGTGATTTGAGGACTGTAGGGATCTAACTGGCTTGTGCCACAGCAAAGGTTCACTGAGGTAACTGGATTGGGCCACAGTAACTTATACTGGATCAGATCCAAACCTGTCAACAGCCAATCAGATCACTGGAAAAAATGAGGTATCATTCCAACAGGATCCTGACAGGGACAAAGAAGTTTATAATAAAATAATAAAGATGAATAGAGTAGTCATATCATTGTGGAGACTTTATATGGAACTTCTCTCCACCGTCTTCTCCTCTCTGCTCTGGCCACAATTACTGGCCTTTAGTCATTTTTACTAACACATGTTCACAATAGTTTTTTCATCATCAGAAAAAAAGAGAATACTCATTCAGTCACACCCTTATAATAATACTCTGCTAATTTACCATACAGTCTTATGCAAAAGTTTAGGCACCCCTTGATAAATAACAGATTTTGGTGATTTTTTATTTGAACAGATGTTAACACAGTTTCTCTTGGAAATGGAAAAAATGCACAATATTTTCTGCAAACAGTGATGCATAGTTACTTCTTATGCCATAAATTGAACAAAAATAAAAAATAAAAACATGATTATGGCATGGTGCAAAAGTTTGGGCACCCTAAGAGTTCCAGAGTCTCAAAGTCTCTCACAAGGTATCAGACCTTAATCAGCTCGTTAGATCTGATGCACAGACAAAAGCAAGTAAAGCTAAAGACTGAAAGCTAGCTGAAATATATATGTCTTAAGCATAGATTTAAAACAACTTATATCTGTTGCAGCTTTAACTGTTATGGTTTCACGTCACTCTGCCTCCTGGATTTATGTTTCTATTTACCTGTTTTCTCCCCGCTACTCTGTCGCCGTCATCAGGCACCATGTCATTCACCTGCTACTCATTTCCTCCCGGTTGTGTTCCCCGCTGTTCTGTCATCTCAATTAGCCATCATTTCACCCACCTGCTGCTCGTTGTCTCCCGGTCCCGTCACACATATATGCACCCTGTTATTCCACCGCCTCTTTGCTGGTTCATACCCTTAGTACTATGTGTGCATGTCCCGAGATTATCCTCTTTGACTCTGTGTTCCGGTCCAGCTCCGCCCATTTCTGTTTGTTTCTGCAACTCATTAGCCCCGTTTACTGTCCGCTCGGTCAGTCAGTACTCTTTGCCGTTAATTGTTTTTCTGTTTTGACATATGTAAGACTTTAGCTCTAGCTCTCCTGACTGTGTTCATCTGTCTGCTATTCTAACTGCCCTTGCTACTCTGATTGCTAGCGCTACTCAGACTGCTAGTGCTACTCAGACTGCCAGTGCTTAGTAACCCAGCTTTTCTGACAGCCTGCTGCCAGCCCTCGTGCTCATCCTCTGGTTCCCGTGTCCCTCCTGCTGCCGGCTCTCCTTCTCGTCCTCTGGTTCCCGTGTCCCTCCTTCTGCCGGCTCTCCTGCTGGTCCTCTGGTTCACGTGTCCCTCCTTGGTCCCCTCCTGGTCTCCTCGTCCCTCTTGGTCCCCTCCTGGTCTCCTCGTCCCTCTTGGTCCCCTCCTGGTCTCCTCGTCCCTCTTGGTCCCCTCCTGGTCCCCTCCTGGTCTCCTCGTCCCTCTTGGTCCCCTCCTGGTCTCCTCGTCCCTCTTGGTCCCCTCCTGGTCTCCTCGTCCCTCTTGGTTCCTTGTCCTCGGTTTCCTTCGTCCTCGCCTGTCCTTGGTTGCTCCCTGCCTGCCCGGGGCCTGCCTGTCTTCCTGCCACCCAGCATTACCTGTGTTTTGTTCATTAAACTACTTTCTTTAGCTCCCACTTCTCCTGGTCTCTGTCTGCAACTGGGGTCCACACCACACTCACTTGTAACATTAATATTTAAAGGGAGGTTATTCCAGAGCTGGGGAGCTGCTACTGAAAAAGCCTGATCAGCCCAGCATCTACATTTTGACCTGTAGACATCAAAAAAGGTTGATCTGAGGACTGAAGTTGCCTCACTGGTTTATGGTTGTTTAAAAGCTCAGAAAGCTATTGCAGAGCCTGGCCAGTCAAAGCTTTAAAAACAAACCATAATACCTTAAAATCGATCCTAAACTTGACTGGAAGCCAGTGCAGGGATGAAAGAATCAGTAATATGTATTTCTGTGAGCCTGTCAGAAGGTGAGCTGCTACGTTTTGAAACAACTGGAGATGTGTCAAAGATAACTGATTTATTCCTAAATAAAGATTACAATAATCCAACCTTGATAACAAACACACTGTTTACAGTTCACTCATTATAATACTTTTTGCTCTGGTTATAAATGAATCTCCTGGCAGCTATCACTGTTCCATCTCATATTATATTCAGTACTTTATTCATGGTTCTGGTGATGTCACTTCTAATTAATAAGTAAACTTCCTTCACATGAACATGCTTGTAGCCTGATAAGAAAACCCAGACTTAACAGAGGCGATTGATAACCAGCTATGTGGTTCCAATTATCTGGGAAGATCATTGTTAGGCTGAGTGAAGTTAGATAAACCCAAGTTAGCCAGGATTAGTTAAACTTGCTTTGCAAGTCTCACATCATTTACATTATGTAATCAGTTCATGCCTGAATCCAATAATGTTGCTAAAATGAAGTGTAAATGCAAACAAATAATGAACAAGGATATAAATAACCTGGCCCAAATATTTTCCTCTGTTGCCAGGACTGTGAACAGGGACTTACCAGACAGTACCAGTCTCAAGGGCTGCAGACACAGACAGAGCTCTGTCCATGCTTTTTGTGAAGACTGCTGATACCAGGCCGTACTGGGAGCTGTTTGCTCTATCGATGACCTCCTGCTGGTTCTTGAAGCTCAATATACACTGCACTGGACCAAAGATCTAAGAGGGGAAAGATATCAGTAAAGATTATTCACATGTCGCTGTCTTCCCTGGTTGCATCCATATAAAAAATGAAAAGGTGAATGTAATATAAACAGAAAAAATTACTTCACTAGTTTTAAAAATACAGAGAGAACTGTGTATTCCAACATGAAATAGCAATGCAAATCCCAGGAGGCACCTTGCCCCTACTTGGACAAGATGCTCCAATACTGGTGCAGTAAGCCCCACTATCTTGCCCCAGTAGTGGGCTAGTAGGACCCACTACAGGCAAGCTCCACTACTAACTTCTGGAATCCATGGTATATCCATGGTAACATATTTTAAAATTTTCACTTGTCAAGACAGTTTTCCACTTCCCCTCAGTCTCAAAGAAGGTGGCAGCGTTTATGGATCTTAGTTTCTTACCTCTGCCAAGGTCTGGGGTTAAGTTTTGGCAGCGTTAGTTTGACTCTTCACAGCAGAACTCAATAACTAATGAATAGATTTTGATTACATTTCTTGGAGCATGGCCCATGGAGCAATTGATACATATAATTTGGTTACAGTAATATTTGAAATGATTATTAGCAATAGTGAGTGCTGCTGACTGTATGTGAGCCCTCTTGTGGCCAAACTGTGCAGCTGCACTACTGAGCACTCCAAGCACATACTGAGACAAATCCTGGGGTTGTGACAGCTGCCCATTCATTGTTGTCACCCAGTCCACCCCTCTGTGCGAGACAGGGGCTGAAGGAGGCCACCAAGGTAACAGCCCACAGCTGGGGAAAGATCTACTCTATGCAGCGACAGCCGGGCAAGAGCCTGATGGCACAGATTTTGAGCTAGGATAAAAGCTGGTATTGTTTTCATCCTAGGACTGGTATTATTCCATTTTATTAAGTTTTGAGATTTTTACAGGTGACAAAGTAACCGCGTAGATTGAGAATATATGGTCGCTATATCCAAGTAATGCAAATTTAGAAATTTGTTCCAGAATTTTCACAGATGTGAACCTTCATTATCTGACCAAGCTAGCTCTACTAGTAGGCAGCTACATCTCATTCAGAGCACAGTGGTTTGTCGATGAGGATGCAGGTGTTCCAGCTACACATTATAGCTGTGTTTCCACTGTGTAGACATAACAAGCGGTACACCCTGTTCTTCTGTTAATGTCACCCGACATAACCTCACTGGTTGATGTAGACTTTGCTTTGATACTTTGCTTTTCCACTGTATTTTGCACTGTGTTGGTCTCTGTTTAAAGGAGAGACCAGCTGTGCTCCTCTCACACACTTAAGGCTAAGCAGAGGGAGCACAGGCTATGAAGGATCACTCCATAGTGTAACAATCAGCCAGTAACAAAGACTGGATGGGCTGTTTATCAAACAGCTGTTAAACAAGCAGAACAGAAACTTGCAGAAATGTGACGTCTTCACTGCTTTGCCCATGGTCCACTTACTGAAATCTCTGTTTTACCCCTAAACCACTGAGTGAATGTTTGTCATATCTGTCTTTTTATTTGAATAACTTGAATAACTAGGGCAAAGAAGGCTCTGGGTTCAAGCCTGGGCTGGCCCGGGGCCTTTCTGTGTGAAGTCTGTATGTTCTCCCTGAGCCTGCGTCAGCTACATCTGATCACTCACAGGTTAAACAGTCTGTTTGCATCTTAACATCACCTAGGGGAGGGAGCATCATGATTTGGGGCTGCTTTGCTACCTCTGGACCTCGACCACCTGCCACTGTGGAGGGGAAAATGAATTCCCAAGTTTATCCAGGTGTCCTACAGGATAATGTCAGGGTGGCTCTCTGCAAGCTGAAGCTCAGAAAAAGCTGGGTGATGCAGCAGGACAATGACCATACACATCAGGGTAAATCTACTACAGAATGGCTACTGAGACACAAAATCCACATTATGGAGCAGCCCAGTCAGAGCCCAGACCTCAGCCCAGTAGAGATGCTGTGGAATGACCTCCAGAGAGATGTTCATCTTAGACGTCCTAAGAACATGGCTGCGCTGAAGAAAATCTGTGAGGACGAATGGTGCACAGTTCCTCCTGAACATTGTGCAGGTCTGATCCACAGCTACAGGAAGCACTTGCTTGAGGTTATTGCTGTCAACCAGTTTTATAATACCAAACATATCAAACTGAATTGTGGGGAAATATATGTACAAAACACTGTGGAGGAAATATAGAATATTCCTTATTGATGAAAAACTGAAGCCATGGTGTCCTGGGCTTAAATATTTTAGTCTGTGTAACCTCAGTTAAGGGCTAGAACAGGAAGATTATAGGATATCTGTATCAGATACCACATAATGTAAAAAAGAGGCTAAATTTAAGGAGGTTTATGACATACAGTGTTTTGTTTCCTTTTGCTTTTTGTTAAATCAAGACCTGACAAAGCTATACTCTCTGAAATAGTGTACAAATAATTTTTACACCAGGATGATAAAATCCCATTTCTCCTGGGAAAAGAAAACTACAAATTTTAAATGATAAAAATAAAATATCAAAATAATATGTCACACATTACTATTACTTATGTTAGTAAACTGACTTATAATTTTGTTGTAAAAAGTGCTGGCAGTCCACATGTCGAAGTGTCCTTGGGCAAGACACTGAACCCCCCCGTTGCCCCCGATGGTTAGAGCCATTGGTTAGGTGGCGCTGCAGATGGCTGCCTTGGTTCTGTACCAGAAACAAATTCCTTGTGTGTAACATACTTGGCCAATAAAATGTGATTATCCTATTATCCTAACCTCTTCCCTGGCGATGCGCATATGATCTTTGACCCCGGAGAAGATGGTGGGTTGAATGAAGAGGCTCCTCTCGCCCACAGATGCTCCTCCATACTCCAGCCTGGCTCCCTCCTTCTTTCCACTTTCTATCAGGTCCATAATCTTGTCAAACTGATGCCGGTCAATCTGTGGCCAACATCAGGCAAACAAGTATAGAAGGGAAGCTTAATAATGCAGAAACAATCAAATTTTGGTGAATGATTTAACTTGTTTGTTGTTTTCAACAGAATCAAATTATACTGTAAGAATAATCAGTTTATTCTCCAAGCGTGCAGCAGAGAGATCACATCAGAATGTTTAACTCTGCTTACCTCAAATATGTAAAAACAATGTTAATCAGTGAGCTTTTCCCCTCCTTCCAATATGTTTTGCTAAGCTAGGCTAACCATGTCCTGACTCTAGATTTGTATTTTATTTTTGTATTTTATATTTGTATTTTCACACAGAAACATGAGGTTGATATCCACCCTTTGATCTCCTTCTCAGAAAGAAGATAAATAATGCTATTCCAAAAATGCTGAATGATTCAAGTAACCTAAAATAGCATAGCTGGGCTGGCCTAAAAGCATAAAGACATTTGGATAATTCATTATATTGGGTATTTTGCTTTATAACAACATGTCAAAGGCATCACTTTTAGTGATAATTGAGAGATAATTCTGAGAATTATCACTTGAATTTGTGGCTCCACGGGCTCTACAGTTAATTTCAGCTTAATGCTTAGCCAGTGTTCACACATTGTTTCTCCACACATTCTATGGCTGCCTAAAGTGAGACCACGAGGGGGCGCTGTTCTATGATACTTTCCATAAGAGGTTATAGCTATTAACATTAACCCTGATACATTTTATTTGGTGTTTTCCATTATTAAAGAAGCTGAAAGAAACACCTGAGAAGTACCTCATAATTAATGGAAGCAGCCAATTTAAAACTAGAATTACCACTTATCAGTTGTATGCCTCTGCCAACCATTTGAATTCACAGGTATGGGACAAAAGTGAGGTCACTGTCCTTTGAACACCAAACTCTAATCAGTTCATCTTTGAGTCCAAATGGGCACTTGTCCCAAATTTGAAGAAATTCCCTCAAGATGCTTCTGAGATATCATGTTCACAAGATTCATACAAACCATGCGGACAAACCAAATGCCCGAAAAAATGCTACGGCTATCGCTTGTGCAGTGGCATAAAAAGAATTCCAGGTAAGTCAACAGAGGAACAGCAGAATGAAGTGGAAGAAAAACAAGCAATTTTTTAATGTGTTTTAAATACTGCATAATGTTTCAATTACCTCATGTACAAATTAACATCCATACAACAGTGCCCCCCTGTGGGCATACTTCATAGTGGTCAGAGAATATGCAACACCAGCCAACGGGACTGTGTTGGTTCCCTCTCACCATTCTCAGAGTGTTTCTTCAGTTTTCAGAAAAAAGCTCTAATCAAACCAACAAACAAACAAATAAAAAACCCACTGCACTAGGGCTATACTTGACTAAGAATTTTGCCAGTTGCCTCAGATTTTGCTATTCAGTGTGACTATTTGTTCTTTTTTTTAATATATATGGTCTATCAGAAAATGAACTGTCATGAATTTCACTGATGATTTTGACCACATTAACATTGGCATTCCAATGCACAAGAATGACTGGAACACATTTAAAAATAAAGAAAAAAAAAATGCTAGATTTAAATGGCGACCTATTTAAATTGATGATATCTGGCTGCCATATGGATTTGATTTGATTTGATTTGATTTGATTTATTGATTCTTTCAAACATGTAACAACAGTCAGTATGTAATCACACATAATTCCAGACATATCCACAAAAAAAATCATCTCAAATTGCTTATACCTAGTACATGCTTGAACGGAGTAGGAAGAAGTCAGACTTATCCAGTCCTACCCCCTAACATCATCTTATCATCATTGGTTTGCAAGCAGTATCTCTACATGGATACATATTCTACATCCACATTCCCATCTGATTATCATTAAGCCTGTTCTTGCCCATATCTTGATTGACACATACCTTTATATTTATGTTTAAACTCATCAATTTTCTTAC